ACTCTGAGGGCGAAGTGACCGGCGCGCTCAGCGCCGCCTTCAGTGGCCCCAAGATCGCCTTCTACGTGGGTCTCAAGAGCCCCCACGAAGGCTACGAGGTGCTCAAGTTCGACGACGTGGTCACCAACCTCGGCAATCACTACGACCCCACCACCGGCAAGTTCAGCTGCCAGGTGCGCGGCATCTACTTCTTCACCTACCACATTCTGATGCGCGGCGGCGACGGCACCAGCATGTGGGCGGACCTCTGCAAGAACGGGCAGGTCAGTGACCCACCCCACCCCGCCGCTCCCGCAGACCCCGCGTCCCAGCTGCTGGGGAGCCAACCTCTTTCCTCCCCGCTGGCGAGCGCGCCCGGGATCCGGCTCCCCAAAGCTCCCTGGTCGCGTTTATCCCCGCGCAACGGAGGTTGTGCGGGGAGAGCCCAGACCCCGCCGCCCGAACTGGACTCCCTGGCTAGGCGCGCGCCTCGCCTGCAGCCCGTCCCCCACGCCCCCGGCCCCCCGGGGCTCCTTGGAAGCCTCTTCCTTCTTTAGCTGCCCCTGTGCAGGGCGCTTGCCCCTCACTCCCCTTTCCTCTGGTCCTGGCCCGGGTTCCCACCCTCCGCGCTGGGCGGGTGATCAGAAGTCCCATCTCTCCTCCCTCCCGGACTTGGGGGAAGGAATTGGCTAAGTTGGCGAGAGAAGGTGGAGCCTGGGTGGGAGCGTGAACCCCGGAGCCGGAGCCTCCTGCAGATGGCCGACCAGCGGGGGGGCCGGGTGGAGGCCGGGAAGGGCCTGGGCAGGCTGCCCCCATCCTTGGCCCCACTTCTCTCCCCGCTCCCCTCTGGCACACACCCCTACTCTCCCACCCCCGCAGGTGCGGGCCAGTGCCATTGCCCAGGACGCAGACCAGAACTACGACTACGCCAGCAACAGCGTGGTGCTGCACCTGGAGGCGGGCGACGAGGTGTACGTGAAGCTGGACGGCGGGAAGGCGCACGGAGGCAACAACAACAAGTACAGCACGTTCTCCGGCTTCCTCCTCTACCCGGACTAGGGGCGCCGGGGCTGCGCGCGGGCTTCCCGCCGCCCTGGGCCCAGTGCGGGCGCGCTGCTCCCTGGCAAGGACCCCTCGCGTTTCCTGATACTTCTTGACATCGATGGAAAAGACACGTTCCCGCTATCCTCCCTGCCCCGCTCCCATCCCCAGTGTGTCTGCAACTCACTATGCTCTGGGCAGTGCTCCTGGCCCCTGGCCCCCATCTGTGGAGGGAGAGGATGACGCCAACGTGGTGAGATGAGCCTGAACCTGAACCCCAAAGGCATGGACAGCAGCGGTGGCGGTGGCGGTGGCAGCACTGTTTGCAAACCTGATTGGAACAGACAGGCTGGGCGGAACTGCCCTCTTCAGTCTCCCTCCTTCTCCGAGTGCCCGGAGGCCCAGCCTTCCAACCCTGGCCAGTGAGGTAGGCCACAGTGCGCACGAGCTCCCTGGGGAGTCCAATCCTCCTGCAAGTTTCCCTGTCCATCAGTCAAAACCCCACCGCCGCACAATCCCAGCGAACGGAAATTCGCCTCTCCACCAAACGCAGGACTCAGATCCACTGCGACGCATTAAATTATGTTTCTAGACCACGGGCTCCGATGTTTTTGTCAGGGTGGCCCCCAGACCAGTCCTCCAGATGTCCACCTTCACATGAAGACATTAACTGGGCCCCGAAGAGCCCCGTCTATGCCTGCTTATCAGCCACGGCCCTGTCCCTGCCACCGGAGTTGGGCGAAAAGATGTGGGGAGAGATGAGAGAGCATCCCACCCTTCCGAGAGATAATATCTCCCCTGGGCTGCATCCCTGAACTGGAGGGGCCCAGAGGAGGTGGGGGAGAGAGAACTAGATAGAGGCAGGCAGGAGAGGAGTGGCTGAGTCTCCAAGTTCCCAGCCTTATGGGAGGACGTCAAGGAGCAGGCGTTTCTGGAGAAGGAAGGGGCAGGGGAGGCAAATGGGAGGCAGGGATGAGGCACTTGCCAGCAGGTGGTCTCTGAGATGTTTGTCCCTATAAAGAAGTGCAGAAGTCCCCCCGCAGAAACCCACCCACCCAGGCATGAAGTGCTCAGCACCTGTCCATTTGCCCACACCACCAGCTAGGGCCACAGCTCTTACAAGAGCTGGTAAACAGGCAATCTGGGGATCATCCAGCTCCCCGAATTCACCCAGAACTGTGTGGGAAGAGATATACACTATTCCTGGGGGAGGGACCCCCTTTCCGGGACCCTCCCTTCCCATTTGCAGGGTTCCGTGATCTGAGCCCCATTGTGTGTGGTCTCTTCTCAGTACTTCCCCCCCCCCA